GCATGTCATTATGTTCTTCCTCCCCCTCCATTTTCAAAAAAAAATAAAAATAGATAAATTAAGGTAAATTCACAGTTGAGAATAAACTAATGCAATCTGAGAATCGGTATCCATGAACTCGTTACATATCCTTATCGTATGTTGAAGAAAGGAGGTGTGTTACATTACCGTGAGCCTTTCCCTGATTACGGAGCATCTTCCACATATAATACGAGTATATTTGATATTTGAGAATGGTTTATTAGATTAACGAAAAAAATGAGACCGTCTGAAATATATTATTTATTATACATCAAAATATTACTTTTGTTCATTATTTTGTTCATTATTATTTTTAAACACAATGTAATATTACTCTTTTAGTATCGTTTTGAAATGTCATCTTAACTCTAAATGAAGTCTTAACACCCCACACTTTATGATACAAAATATTACTAGATGGCATGGAATATATGAAGATAAGGAAAGGGATCAGGTGCCATGGAGGAGTGAGAATCCCCTGCAGACCGGTTACACCCGCCGTGTGCTCCTTGTCATGATCGTGAAACAAAAAAAATTGTCGATAATTCAGTGTGTATATTATGGCCTAACAATAATTGTTAACAAATGAGATGAAATATATATTTGGACGTAAATAATAGAATGTACCAATAATTTGGATTTCAGACAATAATTTTAAGATAAGGAGAGTCTATGTGTGAAATCAATTTATCAATGTTTCAGATGAGGAGTAAAATTAATATGTGCGAAATCAATATAATAGACATGTGGTGAAGTGGCATTTTTCATTCACACGCTTCCTGTCAAGTACGTCATCACCATTTTACTGAAATCTAATATTTTGACTGGTATTTACCCCGTAAATGACAAAGCAATTCTTTATGAACTCTTCGTTAAATGATGTGTTAATTGATTGGAGGAAACGTTGACTTCCTTGTCACGTGATATACCTGTCTCTTCCAGAATGTCATTGACATTGCTGTGATACAATTTCTCTTTGCTATTGCAAAAACACAAAAGTATTTTTATGAAAAAAATGAAAATAAGGTACAACGACTGATCGGTCATTTTAGATACTAAATCATCATATCTCCAGTCTCCTGAAAACTGCTCACTTGTCTGAATACATTAGGATAGGCTACCAGAGGGGCAAAATAAAAACCAAGCATCCTTTTGCGTTCAATAATTCAGAAGTGAAAAAAGAATTAGATAAATTACACGATTAGTATGTACTTGTCTCTGCTGAACACGCAGGTAACAACATTGTCTTTATTTGTAAGGCTCATTATTTAAATTGTATTTTAGAACTGATTTAATTCTACAAGTGGATTCAACTTATACCAACAGTCTATTTCTAAAGAGGAATTTCTTAGAAATTAAATGTCATTTTTGAATATTTGGAATATTCTAAACAACCAACATGAATTTGAATAACCATATCTATATTGGATTTCAAAACATCATAGAATTCCTTACAAACAAAAATATACAGCGGGTTCTGGTAAATGTTCTACCATGTCTCTTTCTTTACTCCTCTATGGCAAGCCCTTTTACTATTTATTCGTAAAATAAATTTTTCTTTCAATTTGAGAGATATCTCTTTAGCCTATAGAGATATCTCTTTGACTAAAAGAGATATCTCTTTAAACAAAAGAGATATCTCTTTTTGATAGAGAGATATCTCTATAGGCTAAAGAGATATCTCTTTTTGTAAGAGAGATATCTTTATAAGCTAGAGAGATATCTCTTTCAGCGAGAGAGATATCTCTTTCAGCGAGAGAGATATCTCTTAAATCTTTCTAAGCTAAAGAGATATCTCTTTTAATGAAAGAGATATCTCTTTTCAAATCACCCGTAAAATAACATAATTAATTCTCCCGTTGAAAACGAAAGCGAAACAGGAAGTAATGATTGTTAAGTCGTTCGTTTTTTTTTTTTTTTTGATTATTGAAAAAGAAGGAGAAAATGGATTGATTGATTGATTGATACAGGTAAACAACGTTTAATCGCTTTATTGTTTTAGTAAATGACGTACATACAAGCTATTCCAAATGGGTCACGAGCATTTTAAAGCATAAAAGTAAGTTGAAATAGTGTTTTCAAACTAAAACGTTCCCCAGATTGGTTCCATATATTGATTTCAGGCACATAGCATCGTTTTTGAAAGGGGGGGGGGCGCAACCAGAGAGATTTGTTTTTTATACTTACCAGTAAAAGTTGACCAAACTCGATAATCCTATTTCAGGAGAGGGGGGAGGGTGTTAGTGGCCAACTTTTTTCAAAACCAAATTCCTTTCACTTCCAATTTTTATAGCATAAAATACTACATTTCCATGATATCACTATACTGTTATTCTATACTGTGGTAAGAAGTGGGAGGGGGATTTCCTGGATTTAGCTCATGGCACAGCTGAAGTTGGGATATAGAATGCAAATTTAATTAAAACAAATAGGAAATGCATGTGACCAAATTCGTCAATCACGGGACGATTAAACATAATCCTGATAGAATGTTTTTCTTTAATTTGTTAATGGTCCAGAAATAACAAGAGGCCCATGGGCCACATCGCTCACCTAAGAAGCTTTGACCATTCTGTTCTTTACCAGATTTCCCCCTTGTAATACATGATGTATCCCCACCCTACCCCACTGATCATAATTAAGACATTTTGAAATCAACTACCCCAGGATCCTTCCATGTGCAAATAAGTTTCAGCTTTTCTGGCCCAGTGGTTCTTGAGAAGAAGATTTTCAAAGATTTTTCCTATATATTTTTATGTAAAACTTTGATCCCCCCATTGTGGCTCCACCCTTCTCCTGGGGGTCATGATTTGAACAATTCAAAATCTACATTACCCAAGAATGCTTCCACATAAGTTTCAACTTTTCTGGCCTAGTGGTTCTTGAGAAGAAGATCGATTTTCAAAGATTTTTCCAATATATTTCTATGTAAAACTTTGATTACCAGTTGTGGCCCCACCCTTCCCCCGGGGGTCATGATTTAATTTAGAATCTACACTATACCAGGATGCTTCCACATAAGTTTCAGCTTCTCTGGCCCAGTGGTTCTTGAGAAGAAGATTTTTAAAGATTTTTCCTATATATTTCTATGTAAAACTTTGATTCCCCATTGTGGCCCCGCCCTTCCCCCGGGGGTCATGATTTGAACAATTTAATATCTACACTACCCAAGAATGCTTCCACATAAGTTTCAACTTTTCTGGCCTAGTGGTTCTTGAGAAGAAGATTTTCCAAGAATTTTTCTATATATTTCTATGTAAAAACTTTGATTCCCCATTGTGGCCCCGCCCTTCCCCCGGGGGTCATGATTTGAACAATTTAATATCTACACTACCCTAGGATGCTTTCACATAAGTTTCAGCTTTTCTAGCCCAGTGGTTCTTGAGAAGAAGATTTTTTAATGACCCCACCTTATTTTTGTCTTTTCTTGATTATCTCCCCTTGTGAGGGGATATGTCCCTTATTTTAACAATTTAAATTCCCCTTCACCCAAAGATGCTTTGTACCAAATTTGGTCAAAATTGGCCCAGTGGTTCTTGAGAAGAAGTCGAAAATGTGAAAAGTTTACAGACGGACAAACAGACAGACAGACGGACGACGGACAAAATGTGATCAGAAAAGCTCACTTGAGCCTTCAGCTCAGGTGAGCTAAAAATGTATATACTCATTTTCAATATTAACTGTAGGACTTTAAACAACACACATGTACAATCAATATATATTAACTGTAAAGACTTATGACCCCCTTCCGAAATACTAGTACTCTTACAATTAAGAGAAAGACACATAGCTAGAACAATCAAATGGTGTCTCCCAACAGGCCCTCTCTGGGTCCATTGGACATTCATCTTTTTATGATGGAACACTTTATCTACTTTTGTCATCATACTTTTGTTTTACAGGGATCCAGGAGGTACTGAAAAAGGGACAATGCTTCGACTGAATGTGTCATTCATTTACATGTACAGTATAGATCTGTTACTGAGGCATATCCAATAATTCTTATACTCATGAAGAGTTTGGCAACTTCCAAGTATTGATGCTGGGACTCATTTTAAATCAAGTACAGGATAAATTTTTGGGCTGCACTTTTCTTTACTTCAATATTTAAAACTTACTAGTTAAGTATCAAGTTTACAAAAGCTCACACACCATGGTGTTAAAATCAATGGACCATAATGCTAGTTAAATTTGTCATATTGCTTTCTTATTAAGTCATCTATTTGAAATTTGATCGGTAAAAAACATTTGTTAACAAGTATAATTCTCCTACTGTCTGCCTAACATTACATCCCAACGATTGAAAATATATGTTGATAGGTTCTCCACAAAAATTGCTAATTGTGCAGAATGTAACTTGTTTGCACATTTGTTTCAACGAAAGACATTTTCTTAACAATCCTTCAGTATAACAAGACAAATATTGGATGCTTATTTTAATACACTGTAAATAAACATCAAGAACAAATTTAAGGAAGTTTAATTTTTGTATATTTGGTAGTTACATGAGTAATAAGTTGTATATATATATATAGGATGTACACAAGCATTTTATAACATTGTTAACATTCAAGAAAGCATTCACTTAATTTCTTGTAGATGCTCACTTCTAGGATGTTTCCAAGTTCTTGTTAAAAGTGTTTTATATGGCACCATTCAGCTACAAATATTTTGCCGGTGGAACTGTGACATCAATCAGATGCTCATGCACTGCTAATTGGCAGAGAATTTCCTTTGGGATAAGCAAACTGTTTCAAACATTTTACACCTGCAAGTTAGTACTTATGCAACTTTGTTTGAAGGAAGCAACAGTGTAAAGGCTAATGATTACTGAAAATACAAGCCAGATGAAGTACAAAAGTGTTGATACAAGTCATTTGAATTTTTGTTTCTTTGCAGGTAGTGATGAGTGTACTGGAAGGTTTTCAGAATCTCTTCCAACATCATAGGTACAACTGGTCACTCTGCTATGTAGCTCCAAATGATGCTTGACTGTTTTTCTTCAAATTTTAAGTAAACCTGAATTGATCTCTGATGCAGTAATATAGCGCCATGTCCATTTTTTAAATTCTATCTTCCCAGTGTCACAAAGTACTGAAATAAAAATGATTTGATTTTAAATATATTTTTTGGTTTTATATGTAACATTAAATTCTACAGAAATTAAAATATTAATATCAATTCTCTGTAATTATCAAACAATGTCAATAATGCTTGGCCACGCTACATTTTCAATTTCTATGAAACTTTTTGTGTGTACTCACATTGTCACATCATTAATGGTTTTATATTTTTTTATTTAAAAAAATGTCTCGTTGCCATGGTAACGGCACCAATTGTTTCCCCTGTAAATTCTTCCTAAAATTTGACCAAAAAAAGTGATTTTGTAGGTTTTACTGAATAAAAATGAGCTTAAATGAAAAAAGAGAATGGGAAAATCTACTTTTGTTTCAAAACTACCATTATTCCTCTCTAGTATAACAGCATAATTTTTTAAAAATGTAATTCTACATAATGGCTTAACAACGCTTAGCTTTGGGGATTTTGGCATTTTGCCAAATTGAGAAAATTACCATTTTAGACCCTTTTTCAAAGCGATTTTTTAATACTTTGCACACTGATTTGAAATTCAGGAAACAGTGCATTGTATAGATGGTACATAAGTTAGTTTAAACACATTAAAATATTTATGGGACACTTAAACATTTTTTTTTAAAAAGCTGATGAAAAATTACCCAAAATTTGCAAAATTTCCGTATTTCAAGGAACATATGCACATTTCATCAAGTTCATATAGAAAAGAAATGTTCCTTTCTACCTGTTTTGATGTCATTTACAGTAAAATTAGTCCATATCTAGGAGAAGTGTCATGTAAAAATATTCACAATCCATTTCCAAGAGCATTAATACATGTAAATATGTTCTTAGAGAGGAGAACTGTGAACACCTGCACAAAATGCCCCCCCCCCCTTTCCGTAAAATTGACAATTTTGAAGTACATGTAGACTAACCAGGGCATGTTTCAAGTTTCCTGAAACTATCCCCTTAGATTGAAACTAATATGAAATAAAATTTTCCCTATCCATTCTCTATTACTATGGAAACAGGAATGCAAGATTTGTTACCATGGAGAGAGGAATACCAGATTTTTAACCAAAATGGCTGCGTTTAACGTAACAATATTCCCAAAACTACACTTATTTACTCTTTTATAAAACCTGTGTAATGAGTTAAATGTGAATGTGAACTAAATTTTTTGGCATCTTAAATTTTTATGATGTTGCTAAAATATAATGCAATTTGTAATGCTATGTCAAATAATTGCAAAACCTTGTGGCTTTTACTTTTTCAAGATTTGGTCAAACTTGAAAAATTCTGAAATGAAACTAAAACAAGCAGGACATTCATAATATTTTACTCATTTCAACTTGTTACTTTGTATAATTTTTTTATTTAATTCATGGGCAACTGCAAACCACAGATACTTTGAATGAAGTCAAAAATTTAAACCCCCCCCCTTCTAATTTTTTCTTTTAAAACTTATGAAACACGACTATAAACTTGAGAAAAATTACATTGGTTTAAAAAAAAAATCACATCCTCTTTGGTAAGTTATCTTGGATTTAAACATAACTAGAACTGTCCAAACGGGACAAAATACCCCCCGCTGGGTTTTTCAGAAGTAAGTTTTTCCATAATATTAAATAAAATATGTATCACACATGAATTATGAAATTTTTCTTCTCGTGATCTTAAACTTCCCCAAATGACCTTGGGTCAAGGTCATGACACACCATAACGTCATAGGCAATCTCTGTGTGAAATGAGAACCTACCAAGTTTATCCATAAGAAAGATAAGAACCGGACACGAATTATAAAATTTTTCTTCCAGTGACCTTGAAGTTCCCCAAATGACCTTGGGTCAAGGTCATGACACACCCTTGGGTCATGGGCAATCTCTGTGTGAAATGAGAACCTACCAAGTTAATCCATAAAAAAGATATTGACCGGACACGAATCATGAAAATTTTCTTCCAGTGACCTTGAAGTTCCCCAAATGACCTTGGGTCAAGGTCATGACACACCCTTAGGTCATGGGCAATCTTTGTGTGGAGTAGTAGATTCTAATGTCCCTTGGTAAGAAAGATATGGACCAGACATATTTGCACAGACAGACAGACGGACGGACAGTTAGACAGACGGACAAGGTGATTCCTATATACCCCCCCCGAACTTTGTTTGCAGGGGGTATAAATATCCAACAATGGAAAACTTTAAACATAGTGTTTGGCATATAATTAACAATTAGGTTTGCAATGGATCTTTTGTATTCTGTAAAGTCAGTTGAAACAATGCCCCCCCCCCCCAAGAGACACTGTCCCCCACAAGTATCATTTTAAGGAAGTTCTTCCTTTCATTTTACTAGGTTCCTGCCAACATCTCATCACACCAACTATATCAATCTCCTTTTCTTTTTTTTCACATGTAAATATAAATTCTGAAAACAAGAGAACTTTTCGCTTTTTTTATTTTTTATATATGCAACATTTAGAGTACATGTATTCTCAACTACGGTACATATCATTAGATTTACGTGACAAATTCTACTGTTTCTGCTGCTCTGAAAATCTTGTCTCTGATTTTTCAATTTTAGAGTTTTTGTTGGTCAGGCATGTACCAGTAATGATCTACATTGACATACGCAAGTAACACTGATAATTAGTTAATGAGAATTATGCTGAGTTGAGTTTTTTTGGCAAGGTACAGGATAAAGCTTGATAAGTTCTAAAACATACTGTTATACAGCATAAGATTTGAGGATGCCATCACATAATATGATAAACATGTTCCTATTATATTTGAACTTTGACATCTCAAACACTGATATCTTGAAGACAGTGGGTACAAGTATGTTGGAACAGGTTGGAATTCAGCTTTCACTTGCCTGGTTTCAAATCTAAAATATGGCATCCCTTCTCAACCTGCAATGGTAAATAATTCCTGAACTTTCCAATATACACTGATTTCAAGCTAATTAAATGTGTATGTAATCCTTTAGAAAGTTGTTTTCTTTATTCTAGTATAATAATTCTTCTGTTACTGGACAGGTATTAAATTTTGTTTAAAAAAAAAAAAGAAATAAGCAAGATTTAAATTAAGATATCAAACTGAAATATTTTTAAACAATTTAAGGACAGATGATACAAACAAACTTTTGTCAAAGAATTTGAAAATAACAACTGGGGTCATGTTTAAATCAGTAAAACTAATAACTTTCTTCAAGTACTTTTTAATTTTTAATTCATATTTGCATAAAAATGGAATTTGAAGTGAAAAATATTTGTATAGATTAATAAGGATAGTTTCAAGAGGGCAGACTTTTGAACATCACACAGAAGGTTTACAATTTCTTAATATTCTAGAAATTTATTAATAGCATCATTAATTTGCAATAAGGTAAATTATGCCAAAAAATATATACGGTAATACCAATCCAGGCATCCATTTTTTGTTTGTATCATCTGTCCTTAATTTACTTTCATATTTTAAGAATGGTTACCTTGAAAAGAACAAAATCTAGGCTGTCCACTTTCTTGCAGAATGCACTTGAACTTCAGTCATGGCCTATTTGGTCCTGTTTTGGTTTACTGGTCTTACTTTTTCTTTATTCATCTTATATGGTAAATCCTTTGATGAAAAAATGATGAAAATAATTATTTTCCTAGGAACATGATCAAAAGGAAAATTCATTTCATTCATAAACAGACATGTTCATGTGTGTGATCATCTTACCAGTAGTGAATATTTGCCTGAGTATCAAATAATTTGTTTAGAATATTATAAAACATGGTCAGTGTGTATAAAACAAATATCATTATAAATCAGAGGTGAACATTCTATCATTATAAATCAGAGGTGAACATTCTACATGTACATGTATATACATGTACTAGTAGTTTTATTATACCCTCCGCTTGAAAAGTGGTAGGGTATACTGTAATCGGTATGTCCGTCTAGCTGTACGTCCATCTGTCTGTACGTCCGTCTGTCTGTTAAGCTTTAGGGTACCCATCTATAATAATCCGCAACTCCTCTTATACCACTGCAGTGAGTGAAATTTAATGAACCTTTCACAGAATCTTTATTACATATTGTCGTTGTGCACCTCCTATTTTACTTTTTGATTTGACACATATTTTGGGTTTCCCGGCCACAGTAAAACATGGATTTGTCATCAGTTATAACCATATGGGAGGCAGGGGGTATCATTTAGTGAGCAATGAGCTCATTGCTCACAGTACCTCTAGTTAAATTTTGTTTTAACACTAATACACATGTACAAGTGTACATATATATTTTTTAATGTTTGCTATTTGAAAAGATTATTATTATTCACACAAAATTGAACTATAGATTATACAGTACTGGTACTTCACAGGCGAATAAGAGTCTATATAAACAAAAATAACTCAATATTTCCAGTGCATTCTTAACCTAGATCTATTTTGTCAATACATATAGTACAGTTTTGGATATATATAATAAATTTAAAGTTTAAAAGATAGAAGCTATTAAATAAAACAATGACATCAAAACAAACATGCTGTTTTCCTATTTTCTGCTTATGAACATCACATGACCATATTTTGCTGATATATAGAATACTATTTTAAAAAACTTAGCTACTTTATGCTTGTGCTCACACATTATAAACGTTTGATGCACTCTTTTTAGAGAAACAAACTTGCTCTGGTTAAATATTTTAACAACACAATTCTGTAAATTATGTGCCTAATGCCAATAAAGAATTGAAATAATAGGATAAACAATGAATGAAAACTGACAGAAGTGGAAATTTATATTATAAAGATAAATAACGTTCACTTAAAAGTCTCTCTCAGCACATCATAAAAAGTAAACCTACTGAATGACACAGATTTTATACAATCTCTATATAGAGATTTATATTTCGGGGAAGGGGGGGTGGGTTTCAGCTGTATCAGCAAGTGATGTTTATATGCTTCAAATTCATTTTTATTAATAAAAATAATTAATTCATTGGTCAGAAAGTCAAACTGTCAAAAGGTATAGT